GATCCCTTGTTTGATGAGCAAAAGTCTACCAGCAACACAACTACGTGTGTGTGTGAAGAGAAAAAAAAGTCAAGATGACCAGGCCCCAAAGAAAAAAACGTGGCCTTCTTCCTTCCTTGCTGCAAGCAGTTGTCGTTCCTATTGTTTGTTGTTTGTGGTGACGGAAGCCTAAAGGAAGGTGTGGCAGCAAACTGAAACAACCAGCTCGGTGGTGGGTGGAAAAGCAAGTAATGAAAAGGTGTTTTGAAAAGAAAAGGGAGGCAGAGAGGCTTTGTATTCTGAGCTTGACTTGAGAGCAAGAAGAAAAGAAGACTGTCACTCGGTTCGATGGGCATTGTGCAGGGCGGGAAGCAGGTAGAAATAGTCGGCTGCGAGGTGTCCAATTCACAGAATCATCGTCTTCTGGAGACGCGTAAGAAGGGGGTGGTGGGGGGTGGGCAGCATTGCTTTTGCGAAAGGGCGGAGGAGGGAGAAGAAACTGGAAGTGAACCCAGGTTTTTCCCTGGTTCGCGGTCCATCCGGCGATAGTTTTTGCGTGTGCTGGAGGTCTGTGGCCATGACACATTCGGGGGGAGGGTGAGGGCCGATTGCCGGGAACATCGACATGTGTTACGGTCAGAAGGGTTGGACCATGTATTCAGAGGATCAGTGTCTGTTGGGCATTGGTGAATGGGAAATGGAGGGACTGTTCACGCAGGCAGCTTGGTCGGATGATGATGGTGATGGAGTTTTGGGGAGGCGGCGCCCCTCCCCGTGAGCAGGCGGTCTTTTTTTTCTTCGGACGAAGCTAGCACATGAACAGTGAGTGAATTAGAGGCAAAAGTTGCTGGTATGCCGCGGCACCATCACCAACTTTCTCGGGCTTCTTTAGGCGGCATGGTCTGATGTTTGTTGGGATTGCTGCCTCTTGGGTTGGCATCTCAGAGGATCTGGATTGGAGTGTCGTGCCAGAGACTGCCTCGCCGCGAAGACTGTGAATCAATGGCAAGATGCGTCCGTTTCGAATTTTCCTCTCCTGCGTCGTGTATCAAAATCGCGGCGGTTCAAGGGGCTTTCCAAGATGTGCTTGTGGGAAGAGAGGTTGATTGTCTCGGAGCTGCCCGATATGGAGAAATAGATGATCACGAGGTACTGACGGACTGGCTGCAATGAATCTTCCAAGAAGCTCAAAATTACTGATGAATGGGAAGAAGTCCTTGCTGGAGGACGAGGAGAAAGAAGCCGCGACATGCCGATGGCACAATGGCCCAGAAAATGGGCTGCCGGTTTTGTACTTTTCGCAGGCTCTGCGCCAGTGCCATGCCTGCAAAGCCATGATACATGGCATGGTCGACGAAACGAGAGACAAGAGCGGTGAGTAAGTGAATCGACCCGACTCGGTGTGGCTGCTCGCCTGCTTGATGGGAGAGGGCGGTGCAATGGAGATGCCCGTACAACTCGAAATCCCTGGTACATGCCACTCGTAGCGGTGTGGTACAAAGATGCTTTCCAAGAGGATCGTCGTCATCATGCCCATCTGAAAAGGAAATGCATGTCTCCTTTAACGTGCCAGTCTTGGTGAGCTTTCCTGACGAACTGAATCAGATAGCATACACGCAATCATGATGGACAGTTTCCATGCCAAACGCCAGCGTGGGAAGTACAGCGTCTCGCAAGACTTGTTTCCTACACTGTGGTATTTTCTGTGCATTCCCGCTTGATTGGGGCTGCCTCTGTGACAATAATTATGGCAATGGCCATTGTCCATGTAACCACGCCTTTCCACGCGTAGGTACTCCCCGAGACCACTCAATATGTGTGACTGGCTTGATGGGCATGCCAGGCATAGGAAATCGGAGAGCAGAGCAGATCATACATATCCAGCCGTAGGTGACTACCGATGGGACGTTGTTGAGCTGGGTTTCCTATCGCCTGGATCCGGAAGTCCCTTGATGCCCATTTGCCTTCCACGCCTTGCGTCTGCACACCAGACTTATTATTGATCTTTGAAAGCCCCCATGCGACGACGTCTCATTTCGCCCTCGGGTTTCGGCTAGCCACGGCCATGAGTGCACCAGATGGTGGTTGAAGCGATGGTCGACATGGGCCATCTTGTCACCGCACGACAAGTTTCGAGGGCCGAGCCATCGAGGACGTCCGTGAAGAGGGAAGAATGGCAGCGGCCCCGGAGCTGGCAAATATGCGTCCGTCTAAGCCGTCCGACGGCAGCACCAACTTGGGGGACAATATAAAACCCTCCGTGTCTGTCTGCTGCTGTGGCTGGCCTTGCTGCTGGTGGAACTTCCTGGGTAAACGAATCGCAACCGCGAGCCACTGTGTTTTGACGCACCAGAAGATCTGCGACCATCCCGCTTCTCGACTTGGGATTTTCCTTTTTCGAGTTTGACTCTTTTTTCGAATGGCAGACGGCCTAGGGCTGAAAACTCTGTTTTGTGCGATCAAGCTCATGCGACGCTGTCATTTCCCAGTCCTCGGCAGCGATTTTGTGAGCGGGAACTGGCCAATGGCAAAAACTCATCGCGCAGCAGTCGGGAATTTAGCGTTCAAGCCCGGCGCCATTCACCTCAGCCATGGCATGGGCAGACTTCTGACTGTATGGGACTTGTTGCTTGTGAAACAGAAAGGGAAAAAAGAGAAGGAAAAGCAGGCTGTCGGAGGTGAGGGGCAAGAAACTTCGAAAACTCATGGAGATCCATGGTGGAATGTCTCCGGACTCACAAGTGTTGCTAATTGACGCCGCTCCATGGGGCGGTACGTGGCAAAAGTCATCAAGTTCCTAGCCCGGAATAATTGGGAGTGTCATCAACAAACAGGTGAGATGGCCGAGTTGGTTATGGCGTCAGGTTAAGGTTTCAACCTCAGCAGTAACATTCATCCTGATGGAGAAATCCGCCTGGGTTCGAGTCCCAGTCTCATCATCAGTAGCATGGGTCATTCCTTAGCTACATATCTTTTTAGGCATTGGCATCGACATCAACACCCAATGTGGGCCCAATGGCAAGAAGCCTGGTCTGGTGGCCGTGGTTGCGAACGAGATTATCAGCGAGTAGCCACTACGGCAACACCTGCATTCTGATACAAGTTTGCATACTACTTGTTTGAATTTTTGTATTGTACCGGACAGCAGGATATCCGTATCTTCTCCCTTTTTTGTAGCCCTGAAAGCAGCGTCGTCTGTCGATAATAATCGTCTTGGAAGTCGTACATGTGTATTATCCCGATGTAACTGTGGCCAAGGACCGAAACGAGCATTTACTCTGAGAATGACTCGCTGTTCACCGCAAAATGGCATAAAAAGACAAGATGCGCCAAATTGTCGATCCCTGGAGCGAGCTGAAGGCATATTTTCATCACAGCAAACGTTCGCATCCCGTATGGAAACGATTAAGGGGATGATCATACAGGGTAGTCGTGGGAGTGGGAGTTGGAAGAGAAAAGCTTGAAGTGCACGGACCAGGCCGGATAAGCGACGTGATAAGGATCCTCATTTTTTTTTTTCCACCTTCGCATCTTTTTTTTCCCCCTTGCCACATTTCCAAGTCTGCGGGCAGACTCAACAAACATGCATTGAAACGCTGTCTTCTCACACTCTCATTTCTTCACACCTGCATCATGGCTACGTCACGAATATTCATCAAGGGTCTGCCCCCCAGCATCACAGAGGAAGAGTTTCGCAAGCATTTCTCTGCAAAGAACCGCGAGATCACCGATATCAAGTTGATACCTCAGCGTCGGATCGGCTACGTAGGCTACAAGAGCCAAGATGATGCGACAAGTGCTGTCAAGTACTTCAACAGGTCATACATTCGCATGTCCAAGTTATCGGTCGAGCCCGCTCGACCAGTAAGTTTCTTACCTCGCCCCCTTGCCCTGCCCACTGGTTGCTAATGGAATGCTAGATCTCAGACCCAGCCTCGACCAAAGGACACAATGCACCACTCCACATCCCCAATGTGTCAGGTGGCCAGAAAGTTGGAGAGGTGACAATCTCAAAGAAGCGAAAGCGAGGAGAACCAGATGCATCTGATCCGAAGCTCCGGGAGTTCCTGCAGGTCATGAGTTCTGCAAGGGAAGGTGCCATTGCAGATGAGACAGACCTCTCTGTCGGGACACATCAGCCCTCTCAGGCTAAGCAGCTTGCTGTTCCAGATAACGAGAGCGATGACGAGTATGAACAAGTTCCGGTGAGAAAAGAAAAGTCGAGAAAGATGGAGACACACCAGGACAAATCAGAGGTGGCCAACAGAAAGCCACCAATGAAGACAGAGGGTTTTCAAGACGGTGACATGTCATTGAACGCTGTCGAAGGAGGCAAAGTCGAGCAAGTTGATTCAGGCACGATTGATCACGGACCACCGGCCACTGGAGCGACGGATGACGACTGGCTACGGTCACGGACAAATAGATTACTAGATCTGGTTGAACCGGATGACCTTGCCTCTGGGGCCACGGCCAGCCAAGAGCAAGACATTGAAGTCGTCGGACAAACATCGCATTCCAAAGACGTGGCGATGCCAGACATGGCTGAGGATGTGACGACGAGTCAGGAGATGCCGGAGCAAGATGCTGTTCAGATCATTTCTCGCACCTCTCGGCTATTTGTCCGAAATTTGTCATACAGCACCACCGAAGACGATTTGCGGGAAGCCTTTGATCAGTTTGGAGCTCTCCAAGAGGTACGTTTGCACTTCAATCCGTCTTTACTGCACTCACCACCATCGCAACACACCCCCCATTCCTTAGGCGCAATGATGAACCCCAAGATAGGGACAGCTTATACTACGGTATATGATGTGAACCTGGGCGAAAATTTTAGTAGATGCTTCGATTGTCTGAGCCAATGCCTAACCTTGCCAAACTTTAAAAAATTTCTTTTGCTGCGAGACGTCCTTTGTTATTTTGGGGAGAAATAGCATCAAAGACTGACATTTTGGGATTAGGTCCATCTTCCCTTGACTGCTTTGGGGTCAACAAAGGGATTTGCCCTGGTCCAATTCGTAGACCCGTCCGATGCCGTCAAGGCATTCCAAGCACTGGATGGGGCAACGTTCCAGGGGCGTATAATACACATCATTCCAGCCAAGCCCAAACGAGAGCAGGGGTTGGATGAATTTGGAATATCCAAGCTGCCTTTGAAAAAACAGAACCTGATCCGTAAGAAAGCAGAGGCAGCGTCAAGCAGTTTCAACTGGAACGCGCTCTACATGAACCAGGATGCCGTCAACGCATCTGTGGCCAGCCGGCTGGGTGTCTCAAAGTCGGAGTTGCTAGATCCTACATCGGCCGATGCTGCCGTCAAGCAGGCCATCGCCGAGACGTCAGTCATCCAGGAAACCAAGGCCTACCTTGCCGCCAATGGTGTGGATCTGGATGCCTTCAAATCCCAGAAACGTGGAGATAGCACCATCTTGGTGAAGAACTTCTCCCATGGGACCACGATGGATGAGATCAGAAAATTGTTTGAGGAGCACGGACAAGTGCTCAAAGTTCTGATGCCACCCAGTGGCACTATTGCTATTGTGCAGTTTGCGCAGGCAAATCAAGCAAAAGCCGCATTCGGTAAGCTTGCGTACAGACGAATCAGGGACAGCGTGCTCTTTTTGGAAAAAGGACCCAAGGACCTGTTCAAGGAGGATATATCGACGCAAGCCAGCCGGGTGGTCAGTCAGCAAGCCGCCGGGGTGCAAAAACTTAGCGGGAGTGAGCTGTTGTCGAGCGGTGACAAGGCGGAGGAGGTGGAAACGACGTCGCTCTTTATCCGCAATTTAAACTTCACCACCACCACTGGTCGGGTGGCGGAGGTCTTTGCGGCTCTCGACGGATTCGTGTCTGCCAGAGTCAAGACCAAGACGGACCCCAAAAGGCCCGGGCAGACGCTCAGCATGGGATTTGGTTTCGTTGAGTTCCGGACCAAGGAGCAGGCGCAGGCAGCACTCCAGGTCATGGACGGATACGTGCTTGATGGGCACACTCTGGGCGTGAAGGCATCTCACAAGGGACATGATGCAGCTGAGGAAAGGCGGCGGGAAGAGCGGGCCAAGAAGGCGGCAGCACAGAGGACCAAGATCGTCATCAAGAACTTACCTTTCCAAGCCACCAAGAAGGACGTGCGGTCGCTCCTCGGGACTTATGGGCAGCTCAGATCGGTCCGCGTCCCAAAGAAGGCTGACTATACCGCAAGAGGGTTTGCATTCGCCGACTTTGTCACAGCCCGCGAAGCGGAGAACGCACTCAACGCCCTGAAAGACACCCATCTTCTCGGGCGGCGCCTAGTATTAGACTTTGCTGAAGCCGAGGCCGTGGACGCTGAAGAAGCAATCGAAAAGATGCAGCGCAAGGTAGGGGGCCAAGTCCACAAGGTGGCCCTTCAGAAGCTTACTGCCGGAGGGAGGAAAAAGGTCAATATTGGCAACGATGAGGAGGAACTGGAGGTTTGACGTGGTAGGGAGCAGAAGCAAACTATTTGGTTCCGCATCCAGCAAGTATACACAATACAGCGCGAACAAGAACAAGAAGGAAAAATGGCAATTCATGTCAATGTGCCCACCGTCCCTGGCCCACGGCCGTGTGGCTGCACCCCTTGCGAAGGGCATTCAAGCCGCTGTACCGTTCCTTTTCGCCCCCGTGTCTGCCACGAACGCTCGGTTCCCTCGATGTCCCCACTGGTTATCCATTGCCGGATCGAGGCGGAGGGCGGCGACGCGAGCAGAAGGCAGCCATTGCGATGGCGAGTCCTGGCGGCAACAAAAAAAAAAAGAATCACGGCGTGCTCATGAGCTGACGGGGGGGGATCCAGGAACCAAGAATGCGGCTCGCGGGGTGGAGGAGTCTTAAGGGCCATCTTTGTCTTGATTCTCGTCTCCTTCGCATACCTGCGCGATTGTCGATAAATAGGAAAGAGGCCTTGCCAAGGATTGTGTTTGCCACGGGAGAGCATCGCCGGCTGATGGTGTGCAAAAAGACCCGCTTTGCTATCGACGCTCTCTCCCCCCTTGCGTCGCCAACGCCCCTCGGCTGGGGAAGTGCTGCAAGACACATCTGCAGACACATTACTTACCGGGCAATATGCCTATTGGGCTTGCGGCAGGGCCTTCATTGGCTGGGGCATAGACGTCCTCTCTCTTGGATGGTAGACAGGGATCATACAAGGTTTTTGGTGACGAACTGTCGACGGAAGGGCCCAGTCATCCCCCGCGGCTCTGGCCTATCTTGGGCCACGGCCGGCTCCCCATCTCATCCCACCCTTTCTTGGGGATAGCTTACAGACAGATGCTTGATATTTCAGGATGAGGGGCGAGGAGGAGGAGGAGGAGGAGAAGGAGAAGGATAGTCGAGTAGCCCTGTTGCTAGCTAGCCCTTTGTCAATACGATGCGGTCCATCTGTTGATTGCCCATGACGATCGTCTTGGGTTTATATCGTCTTGGCTCCTCCCGGGGAGACAGCTCTCCGTTCCAGTCGAATCCGTCACTCTCCCCAGATCATACATGTATCCCACCATTCCACATCTTCAAAATTCCTCTCAGCATTTCTTGTCCCCTTTCAACCTGCTCTTTCCATCTCTGCCATTCATACTTTGTGGCCATTGTCCGAGTTTGTACGAGGCAATTTTGCATTTTTTGTTTCGTCTTTTTTTTTTTTCTCCCGCGTCTTCCCCCCCCTTCCATTTTGGCCAGTTTTCGTTTTTCTGGAGAAATCGCCAGCGGGCTTGGATGCTCCGGGCTGACGAAGTCGAGCTGGCTGGCATTCCATCTACCTACGTCCCCGTCCCGTCCTTTGTCCACCTCGGGGGGCAGCATCTCTGGGACAGCCATACCATACCACACAACACCACCACACATACCATGTCCTCGCTCTTCCAGCCCAGGCCGGTGCTGTCCTCGCAGCGGTACTCGCAGTCGCCGGACTATGTCGATGCGC